ACCGGGGAGTTTGTTGCTGCATCCGACGCCCAAGTTGGGCGCCCAAGGGGTGTTCAAACGCCCGAATCGGGCGTTTGAACACTCCTTGGCCGCCCAACTTGGGCGTGCAGCCTGTAATTACCGAAAAAAAAGCCCCTACGATTCGATTTGTAGGGGCTTTAAACATGAAATTGGTTGCATAAACGACATGGGCAATGCATATTTTACGAAAATTAGTCCAAATTACCTCAAAAAATCGAAGCCCAATGGTTCTTCGAACTTGAATTCGAGATTTCGAATTTTTTTTTATTTTTTGCTATTTGCGGTTTTTTGGTTTTTGTATGTTTAGAGAGAGAGAGTGTTTTTTTTATGAACCGCGAATAGCAAAAACGTAACCGCGAATAGCATTTCCGATTATAAATTAACCCCTGTAACAACTAGTCTGAATGCTTAAATGTTCGCCGAATGAGATATCACACAATTCCCTATCTTGTGTTGTCTTCTCCAAGTATGTTTTCTGCATGTTACTTATACAAGTTAAATATATATACTCATGTATTTGGAAAACGAACACATGAAGAAATAAATATTTAATAAAAAATGAAGGGAATATAAATAGGAAAAAATACAAATACCATACAGTTAAAGAGGAATAATTTTATGTTCAAAAGCTCAGTCTATACAATGCATAGACACTTATAGACAATCACACATTCAGGAGAGTTTAAAAAAAGATGTAGGCACCAATAGAATGCATAGAAAATAAAACATGGTACTTGTGTTTTTAACAAATGGTGTAGACATCCACATATGCTACATGCTATGAGGACCCCGAAATGTTAAGAGTTGTGTATAGTATAAGTAGTACAAAATTTGTTCATATCCATTTTAGTATTGACATCACCAGTATCATAGGCATCCATAGGCAGTGGCGTATCTAGTGTGGTCCAAGGGTGTGCTACTGCACACCCTTGATTTAAAAAAAAAATTATTTCCTATATTTTTTCGAATATATAACTCCAAATGTAAAACCTGCCCAATGCAATGCTGTAGCTGAACTGGTTAAGTGCTCCATAGAATTTTGCAGAGGTACAGGATTCGAGACCTTACTTAGAGTCTGAACCTCTGTATTATTTTTTCTTTTTTATTCATAATTTTCCATTACATACAACATTTCAATTCTTTTAAAAAATGTGGGTATTTTTTAATATTTAAAAAAAAATCTCCTAATATAACATATATTTTGCTATTTGTAACTTTTAATTTATTTACCATTTATTTAACATTAAATATAATATAAATTATTCCAAAATTCTAAATATTGTATATATATATATATATATATATATATATATATATATATATATATATATATATATATATATATATTATTTCAATGTGTGTGTTCTAAATTTACAACTATGTGGGTTCTCTGTCTCTTTGTGAAAATTCAAAATCTGTTAATGAAATGTACATTTTGTCACTTGCAACTTTAATATGTTTACCACTCCTTTAATATTTTCACCAATTTTATGTCTAAATATTTCCTAAATTGCCCAAAAATGGTAAAATAATCCCTTTAATTTTAAAAATTTTAAAGATTTTTTATTATTTAATGTGTACAATATTCAAAAAAAAAAAATTCGGGGGCGCTGCCCCCGAACCCCCACAAACTATTAGCTAACCATTATACTTTTTACTATATTTAATTTCGAACACCCTTGGCAAAAATCCTGGATTTGCCACTGTCCATAGGTAGTCAAAGAATTTTTTGTTCAATCAACTAATTAATTCACAAACAAGTAACAACACTTATCTGAACACAATGTGCTTATTTTGTGGTTTTACACAATTTACCACACACATGGCACACAAAGTACATTATTTTCTATAACATCAATAAAAATCAGCCCTAATTTTTTGTTCTGCATAAGTCTACAGAAATAATGCATAAACTTTTGTATAGACCCAAACTATGTTTTACACAATCAAATCAGCCGGAATATATATTCAAGCTCAGTTCTTAGAATGTTGTAGACACTAAAAACACTATTTCACATAATCAAACCAACAGCCATTACAACATAAACTACAATAGACTACCATAGAAAAGTAGTGGAAAATTCATAGACTACCATAGAAATATTACAATATAAACTACAATACCAATTACTATGCCACAGCCTACTACATATTACCGTAGACTACCATTTAAATACCCAGCAACATATTCAATATACAATTTTATTCTACCAACTACTTTGTAATCAGCTTAAATAAACAAATCCCAGCAATACATAACACCGTACAAAATACCTTACCAGTTCACATAATACCACAGAACTGCAGTGAAATGTTCATAGACTACCATAGAAATTTTAAACATAAACTACCATAACAGTTGCTACACCACAACCTACTGCATATTCCCATAGACTACCACAGAAATACGCCTAAACATATCACTGACTATAACTATAGTAAAAAATATGCAGAATATACACATAGATAAGTAAATTCCAATTATAGATTCAAACCACCAAACTATTTTTATAGACACCCAATGATTGAACATAATGAAACAAGAAATTACACATATGTACAATCTAACCTGGATCTAGCGCATTTATGCCCTGCTGACCCTTCATCCGCATCTCCGCTGCATAATAGATTGTGTAAAACCCTAATGTTTAAGTTTTCAGAAAAAAAATACAAAAACAAAACTTACTCGATCTGTTGCATGACGTAGACATTCATAGACGTTTGTGGCGACGAGAGGTTGACTTTTGTTGCTGTATACTATGATAGTTATTGCCGCCGATTTGCAGTAGAGAAGGAGAGGAAGACGACCTTAATTTGGGGGAAAAGGGGGGCGGTGGTTTAGATTGTGACACGGTTATTATAGGATTTAGGATAATAGAATCACAGAGATTCTTAAGGGCGGGATTGGTGGGATCTAATTTCAACTTACCAAATAACAAAATACACGGTGTTAATATCACCGTAAGGGTACTATAGGAATAATTTCACAAATGGATCTATTCTAATGTTTTAATAGCCTTCGGTGCATCTAATATGTTTTCCCACTAGGGATGCTTATCTTAAAGCCCCTTGACTTTAACCTATAACGTCTCTACCTTTCTAGTTTATTGCATGTTTAGAGTTGTATATGGTTATGCAAAAAAAATCGAAATAAATTGTCATAAGCAAGCCGTCGGTTGGTGCATTTCTCAAGCAAATGCTCCTAAAGACAAGTTGCAAGGATTTATTGGCTATGTCTGTGAAGTCAATTAAACTAGAATGTCCTTGTTAAAATCCCAACACTGTTGTGGGTCATGCAAGTTACGTTCTAGATCTGGTATACAAGAAACAAAATTCATGCAATACGGATGTTGGAATCATAACAACAGTCGATCCTCCATATGAAAGTTCCAAGTATCCATGATCTGAAGGAAGATTCAAGGATAAGCGAGCATTTGAATGAATAATAAGACTAGTTCCAAATATATAAATAAAAAACAACAGTGTGATGTTAATTCGGCTGACTATAAAATAGTAATGGAATCCAAGCTTAGAATTTTTAATATTTCATTTTGATTCATGTCACAACATATGTGACTTTACAAACAAAAAAAATATTTACATTGCGGACAATATTTATTTTATAGAATATATGTTTCTTGTAGTTGTAATTTTGTTACATAGTGTCATATAAAGTCACTACTTAATTTTTATTTAATTATTCAAATTTTATTATGTCACCTTATTTTGTAGTTATATTACACAATCTTCCGATAATTGAAATATGTACACTTTCAAATATAAAAAAACCAATAAATTATTTTTTTGTAAAATTGAGTTTTAAGATTATAATAATTATAAGAAAAATCATCTTGGATTGCGTAAAAGTATTTGAAAATATTGATTCTAAGTGGCAACTAGCTACTATTTAAAAACAATTTGATTGTCATTTTTTTAATTACTGTAAGGAAAAATCTTAAGAAGACACAACATAGACAAAGCTGCAATGAACAAAATCAATGTCCCTTTGTTTTTAGTTTTTTTCCTTTTTGGTGTTGTATATGGTTATGAAACAAAGTTCGAACCAAATGGTCGTAAGCAAACCGTCAATTGGTGCATTTCCCAAGCAAATGCTCCTCAAGAAAAGTTGCACGAATTTATTGACTATGGTTGTGGAGTTGTTGTTGTTCAGCCATTCAACTAGGCGGTCCTTGTTATGATCCCGACACCGTTGTGGGTCATGCAAGTTACGTTCTAGAACTGGTATACAAGAAACAAAATTCATGCAGTACGGATGTTGTCATCATAACAATAGTCGATCATTCGTATGGAAGTTGCAAGTATCCATGATCTGAAAGAAGATTCAAGGATAAGCGAAAATTTGAATGAATAATAACACTAGTTTCGATAATTTATTGAAAATATGTACTTAATAAATATTTATTTATTTGTTTGAAATTGTTGGAAAATACTAGATCTATTTATTGTCTTTGAATTTTTCTACCGAGAATATAATTAGCGCAACTAAAACAACCGAACCGAATGCCAATTTATCAATCTATAATCATATTATAAGATAAAGTAATTCATCACTTAACAAAGATTAATTTTATATTTTCTCTTTTCGGGTAGTAAAATTTAGAGAACTATTTTAGAGCAACTATTGAGGATTTTCAGAGAGAGCAGTTGTAACAATATAGGTATATAATATAGGTAATAGGTATTTATTGCATTCTACAATATCATTAATAGTGTAATTGCCACAACAGTCACGTGTGATCAAAATTTAGTGACAAATAGATTACATAGAGCTCTTTTATGACCCGCCCTGGTGGTGTAAATTTTCT